AATTAATATTTCGAGCTTATTAAATAATAATAAAAATACGCGTTTATAAAATTCGAATTAAATATTAAATTTATTAATTATTTTATAGAGAGCGAGCTTAAGTAATTATATAAACGCTTTAACTACTTATTAATTACGAAGCTATATAACTTTTAAGTACTTAGAAAATAATATAAAAATAAGGGCTTTAAAGTAGTTAATAAGGGTATATTATTAATATTAAATAAACGTATAGAACCCGTACAAATTTAAGTTTAAATTATATAATAACTTTAATTTTAATTAAGAAATCATTATTAATATTTTTATTTAAATAATCGCTTAGTATTATATATTATTAATAAAGCTATTTTATTTTAAAGAATAATTTCTTAGGGATATATAAGTAAAAACTATTTAGTTAATATTAAAAGGGTATAGATTAATATATACTAAAGATTATTAAATAAGATTAGAACTAATATTAGTATTAGTTTTAAGTTAATAAAGTTTAGGAATAATATTATTATATAGTATCTAACTAAAAATCGTATTTATTAAAATATATTATAATATTATAAAGTAAAAGGGCTTATTAATAACTAAAAAAGCGTTTAAAATTATCCGTAATAAGAGCCCTAATATTATAAATAAGGTATTTTTAAATAGTACTTAAGTATTATAATAATATTATAAGCCCTAAGGGTTAGTTTTAATACTTTTTGTATTTAAAATATATTTAAGAACGATAATAACCTCGTTATTATTATTAAACATAGCTTAGCGAGCTTAAATAATTAATAAAATAATAAAAGTATTTTGCGAGGTAAATACGAAATAATAAATTAATAAAATTATTATTATTTATAATAAGTTAAATATAAGCCCTAATTTTAATATATTATTAAATTTAAATATTAAGGTTTAGAAGTTATTAAATAATAAATAAAGCTTATATAAATTAATTTTTATTAACGAATAGTTATATATTATTATTAAGGATCAGGATTAATTACTTAAAATATTAATTATAATAATATAATTATATTATACTAATCTTAGTAAAAATTCTAATATTATAAAAAAAGAGCTAAGGAATTCTTTTAATAACTTAATAATAAGTAAAAATTATCCTTAATAAAATCGTTATTATAAAATAAATAGATAATAAAAGGAGGAGAGAGATAATACCCTTATTAATAAAAGATAATTAAAAGACTTTAATAAAGGGTATTAATATAATAATTTATTATTAATACGGAAATAAATATTATATTTTATATAGCTAAAGAAAAAGCTGATTTTATATTTATTATATAATTATAAAAAAATAATATATAATAATAGGGAGCTATATAAGGGATTAGACTTTATTAAAATAAATATATTATAAAATCGAGGGTTTACTAATTTATTTTTATAATTTAATTAAATATGCGAATATTTATATTTTTAAATTATATATAATATAAAAAATAAAAAGAAAGGGTATTCTTTAGTTATATAAGAAATCGAAGTACGTTATTTAGGGATATAGTAATATTAAAAGGTAATACTATTTATTTAGTTACTTATAGTTTAATATTATAACTAGTGCTTAATAATAATATTAATAATATTATTATAATAAAAGAATATTAAATATAGAGTTATAATATTATATAAGCGTATATATAATTAGTTATTAAGTTTATAAAGAAAATCCCTACTTATTTTTTAAAAGAGATAATTAGTAAGTACTTAAAAGTATAATTATTAAAGTATTTAAATTATTATATAATCTTATAAAATTAAAAACTTATTAATAAGTAATATATTATAATTTTTATATTAACTAATTATTAATAGTTATATTAATATACGATTTTTATTTTTGATATTTATATACGTAAATAATCTATTTAATATTATTAAAATATAAATAAATAATATTTTAAGTTTATTAAATATTAAGTTTATAAAAAAAGGACGAGGTTTTAAAAATAATATTCGTAGCTAAGCTAAAAAGATTTTTATAATAGAATTATTATTAATATTTAATAAAAGGATTTTTATAATTAAGAGGATAATATAGTTTTCTAATAAAGAAAAATAGGGTAAAAAGATTAGTTTTATTAACTTAATATTCCTTAATTATAAAAAGTAGTATAAAACTAAGCTTATACGAGGAGCTTATATTATAAGTATTTATTAACTTAAAATTATTTTTAATTATACTAAAACTACGTAAACTATAAAACTTACGGAGTATAATTTTAATATTTTTAATTAATAGCTCTAATAATAATAAAAATTATAATTAACGTACCTATATAGCGAGTAACGTATTATAGCGAGTAATATACTCTTCGTAACCTCTTAACCTTTTTATAAATTAACTTAGCTATAATATACAAAATTAATTAAAACTATATATTACCCTCTTCTTTATTACTATCCTAAACTATTTTATAAGTTCGTACGTTATATCTAAGCTTTACTATATTATTATATATAAAGTTTAGTACTTTCTATATAACCCTCTTTTAAAAGTTATTCTCTCTTTTAATATTAATACTACCTTTTTACTTTTAATACTTCTACTTTAATATTATTAAATAACCTTCTAAAACGTAACTAAGTCTTTTTACTCTTTAATACTTATTTAGTACCTCTATCCCTATATAAAACTTATAATTCTCTACTTTAATAATAATAAGCCTATAAACTAACTTATTAATACTTTTAGCTTAGAAATTAATTACTTCGTATATTAATATTAATAAACTCCTTTAATATATTTAAATCTTATTTTTAAAAAAATAGTACTTTATATACTCTTTAGTACTATAATTAATATTTTTAAGTCCTAAGAGCCTTAATTACTTAGTTATAAGTTTAATAATATTAATATTTTTAATTTAAAATCTAAATAAAAATAACTACTTCAGGGTTAAAAATATAAGACTTACTTACTTAAAACTAGCTCGTATATTATTTTCGCTTATTAAAATAAAAATACTATTTTAAAAATAGAAAAAGTTATTCTTTATAATATATAAAATTTATATCTATATTATTTTCTTAATTTTTATTATATAAGTACTTTAATAAATTAAAATACCTAATATTAAGAAGTTAAAGCTTATATAATAAATAAAGAAGTATATAAAAGTAATAATATTTTATTCTTTATAATATTTATTAAAATTAGTCGATTTATAACTATTATAATTATTAAAAATTAAGATATAATAAGAGCCCTTTATACGAATCATATATACTAATTAAAATACTTTAGCTAATTTAAGCTAATATTATTTATTATTTATTTATTTTTATTTAAATAAATATAAATATACTATATAATTAAGAATTAGTTATTAATATACTAAAAAAGAAATAATATTTACTTTTTATAATAACGTATAAAAATAGTACCTAGCTATCCGCATATATACTAAAAATAATAAAACTTATTCTTAATTACTAAACTACTTTATATAAAACCTTCTATTATAATTAAAAATTATAATAACTTTTACATATAATAATATTCTTATTAAAAACCTATTTTATTAAAATTATAAATATTATTATTATATATTCCGTACTTTGTAATTATATTTTATATAAAAGCAAACTAGCTTTATATAATAATAAGATCTTTAGCTAAGGCCCTTTAATAATTAATTTAATATTAAAATCGTATTTTTAATTTAAGGACGCGTTATATAAAGTTCTCTACTTATTATAATTTAATATATATCTTATTATATATATTTAAGAATTAATTAGCTATTTTTTATATTTTTTATTATAAAAGAACCTTTAATTAATTAAGTTAATAACTCGTTTAAAAATTACCTCCTCTTTTATTATAATTATCTTTATTAAATTTAGTTATTTTTACCTTATATAATATATTTAGCGCATTAATAGTAGAGGATTAATTTAAAGACTTTAAAAATAAAAATAGCTTTTATATAAATATTTTTAGGTCTTTTTTAATAGTTTAGAGAATAAAAATAATTTAGCTTTTATTTAAAAAGGATTATATATTTGTATATAAAAAAAAAGTATTTTAAAAATAAAGAGAGTAGAATTATAAGGACGTACGTCGCTCGCTATAATACGTCGCTCGCTATAATACGTCGCTCGCTATATAAATACGTTATAATTTTATATATAAGCTTATTAAGCTAGTTATAATAAGGCTCTATATATTTATTAATAAATTATTTATAAATAATAATAACCTAATTTTATAACTAAAATATATTATTATCCTTACTAATAAAACCCTTAGTAAAGATAACTTTATAATTTAAAATAATATAATTTACTATTTATTAATAAAAATAAGCGAGTTACTTAGAGCGTATTTATATTAAAAGTTTATAAAATAATAAATAATATAAATATTACTTATATAATTTTTATTATACTTAAAAATTATAAATCGATTTAATTTTTATAATCCTACGATTATTTATATTAATTCGTACTTATTATATAAGTACCTCGTTAAGTTAAGTATTATAGAAAAAAAGTTAATAATTAATATTATAGCCCTTAAGTAGTTATATAAATAATAAAATCCTTAAGATCCGTTAAATTAATAAAAATAATAAATTAATTAACGCTTTTATAAAAACTATACTTAATAAGGGTTAGAATAATTCGTTAATAAAAAGGAGTAATTATATAAATAAAAAAATAAATTATATAAAAAAATAAAAAAAAGGAAAAAAATAAATTTAATGGGCTAGCTTAAGGTTAAATTATATTTTTAATTACTATTATTAAATAATAAAAAAAAGTTAATATTAAATTAAAGTTTTAATTTAATTTCGTAATAATATAGGAGCTATTTATTAATTATATAATTAATTATTATAGCTTACTTAACTTACGGTTAGAACCTCTTTTTTATATATACGTAATAGAATTATATAGTTAATTAACTTATTATTATATTAACTTACGGTTTGAATTAATTAACTAATATCCCTGTGATAGGGATACTAACATTGACTTAGACCAAGATATAGGCACATGGTACGGCCTTGAGAGCAAGCTGGTTTTGCGGAACCCACGCGATATCCAGCAGAGAAGTATATTGACACCAATTGGTCCAGTGGAAGCAAAACAAATCGATAGCAGCATGCTTGTGAGAGTGCTTCCCAGTGGAGAGTATGGCAAATTTGTCATCAACAGACATCTCGGGCGGATCGAGTCGGCTCCAGAGCCAATGCTTCTCTACATGAAAGCACAGTTACACGCATATACGTCTTCGGCGTTCCCGGACCCTCTCACTGAACGAACTGGCACAGAAGAGGCATTACAATGGCTAAACTCTGGGATCTGTCAACCCTGGTCTCCCCTTCACAGTGGACCGCTCAGAGTACTACTCAAGATCGCTCAGCTCACTCCACAGCATGAGTATTATCCGACCGACCTCAAAGTCATGAAAACGGATCGCTGGGACGTGAGCTTAACTGAAGGTGTACAGCATGAAATGTTCAGGCCCATTGTGGAACAGATTTTGTCGATTTCGGCAGAGCTCCAGTCATTTGCACTCATGAATGTCGATTTCGGTGTACTGCCACCCGCAGGCGACCCTCACCTGCATGATCGGGCCAGGCTTCGCAGGCAAATCTATGAGCGGTCTTACGATAACAGCACAGATATTCCGAAGGCCGTCGACTGCAAGTACCTGTCGCGCGATGCCCCGGCATCTTCTAATCAGCGTCACTTGCAAGTTCTGGAGATTGTCAACTTCCTCCGGACTTGGCCGCAAAAGGCAACCACGACGCAATACCTGGCACAGCAACTCTCTCAAAACATTCTGATCGGTGGATTTCAAGAAAGCTGCGAGAAGACTTCATTGAACGACCGCCTGGGCATTGATATTGCGGCAAACTGGGGCTCCCTAGTCAAGTCTTGCCGGGAACAACAAACCCCCTTTACATTGATGTTCATGCTGGCACCCATGTCGTACGGCTCAAAGGCCGATCTGAGCCTCGTCAAGACCTTAGCGGCTTTTGCTGTTTACGAGGAACTGAAAGCTGTTGAGTTGCCAGCTTGGGTCGAGTATCGGGACTTCCAGCCCAACCAAGTCCCTCAGCTAGACAACCTCATTCAAGTACTTGGACCGTTCAAGACCCCAGCCCCCAAGGATGATGGCGACGAACTCAAAAGTTTTGCCAGTGCCAAACAGCTTCGACGCATGAGAGACCAGAAAGCAGCCTGGGATCACAAGGCCGACGATGATTGCGCGTTCTTGGCGAAGTTCTTACTTGCACAGTGGCCTTGCATCGAGCCAGGCGTTGCAGATATATCTAAGCCTTTGCTGGTCGACATCGAAGCTGCTTTGGGTGTTGTCAGAGTTGAATGGAAGCGCCTGTATCAAAACAAGGACCTGTGTGCACACTTGAGCACTGTTCAGTCTATTCTGGATCAGCACCGAACTGAGACAGAATACGAGGCCCCGTGCTTCATTGCATCGGAAGAGAGCTTTGGAGACCGGCTACGTGGTGGTGAGATCCCTTCACTAAGGTCTGACTTGTTGAGAAAGACAATTCCGACTCTTCACAACGGCGGGATGACCAACTTGAAAGAAGTTGTCAAGGTCAAGATCACTGACCCTAGAGCGGGTCGGCTCGTCGAACCCTTCCGCCACCCATCACACATTCGCCAACCAATCAAGCTTCCATCCTCAACAATGCGAAGTTCTGGGACCAATGTTCTAGCACCGAGCTGGATGTCCGCGAAGACGACGCTAATTCCTTCCAGCGGGGCCAATGCTGAACTAAGAAAAATTGTGTCTAACCTGTCCAACTCGAAGTCGCTGGTACGCCAAAGATACGCGAAGGACCTGGAAAAGAGTCTGAACGCCTTTGTTGCCAGGCATGCCTCTAAACACACCCAAGACGATACGTCACCAGATTTTGTTTCCCGTGAGGTTTCCTTGTCGATTCTTTCGACCCAACGACGCTACAAGGCTATTGCTCTTGCTCTAGAGAAACCTAACGAGAATCTCTCTGCTGAATGCGTGCATTGGCTCAAGGCCGGTCAGCTTTGGCCTGCGATCACTACTGTGACCTTGTTGGAACAGCTCCGGTCGACTGCTACGCCCGTTCAATTCGGCAACTCAGTGTTCGAGGCATTGCTGGACTTTGGCATCTCAATCACAGACGCTCAGCGAGATCTCCGTATCAATCATGCTACTATGCGTGGCGATGCTGGAAGATACGCAGACGAAATGGCAAACAAGGGCCACTCAAATTGGCAGCCATCCGAGCATCCCGATTGGTTACTTCTCGAAATCGAAGCCAATTTGATGATTCGACCTGATCAGGTTGACGTTGCCTTGGCTACAATATCACCAGCTTCTGGTTGCAATTCTGTCTTACAGATGAACATGGGGCAAGGTTAGTTGTACAAAGAAACTGGCTCACACGCCTTCTTTCATGATGATGCTGATGGCTAATGGTGAACAGGCAAAACATCTTGCATCATACCTATGGTGGCTGCTGCGCTGGCAAATACCCAAAACCTTGTAAGAGTAGTGGTTCCCAAAGCTCTTTTGCTGCAAACGGCCCAGCTCCTTCAGGCACGACTCGGCGGTCTTCTCGATCGACAAGTCCGACACATTCCGTTTTCTCGTCGAACCCCTACACACGAAAACCTCGTTCGAGCATACCACAGAGTGCATAGAACTATAACGAAGCAAGCCGGGGTCATGGTATGCCAGCCGGAGCATAACCTGTCTTTCATGTTGAGTGGCCTGCAGCGGATGGTAGACAATAGGATGCCGGAAGCTGGGCCAATGATCAACGTCCAGTCGTGGCTACGCACTCGATGCCGCGACATTTTGGACGAGTCTGATTACACATTGGCTGTAAGAACGCAGCTCATCTATCCTTCCGGCTCACAAATGACTGTCGATGGGCATCCTCATCGTTGGCAAGTGGCGCAAGACCTCTTACGACTCGTTGACAGACATCTGTACGCCCTCGCCCACCAGTTTCCGAACTCGATCGAAGTCATTCGACGATCAGAGGGAGGCTTTCCATTGCTCTTCTTCTTACGAACGGACGTCGAGGAGGCCCTTGTCAAGCTTCTTACTTCAGATGTGCTACGGGGTGATGCCGGGATCCTCCAGTTGCAGAACCTCGACGGTGCCGACCGACTTGCTGTTAGGGAGTTTTTGTTCAATGAAAGACCCCGGGATGGAACTCTTCAGCGTATCCGTCACCTATGCCCGGACCGTCCAAGCGTCAAGCAGACCATTTATCTGCTGCGGGGTATCTTGGTCAACCGCATCTTAATGATGACTCTGAAGAAGAGAAGGAACGTTCAGTATGGGCTCCATCCCCTCCGAGACCCCATCGCAGTGCCTTACCACGCCAAAGGCGTCCCGAGTGAGCAGTCTGAGTGGGGGCACCCAGATGTCGCCATCCTATTTACATGTCTGGCATTTTACTACGACGGCATCAGCATCACCCAACTGACCCAATCCCTCGAGCATCTTCTCAAGTCCGATAAACCAACATCTGAATACGATAAGTGGACCCGGAGCAGTGCAGGATTCCCCGAGCACCTCAAAGCCTGGAACTCGATCAATGTCGACGATGGCCAGCAACTTGTTGAGATATGGAAAGCTCTGCGGTACAATATTGCAGCTATTGATTACTTCATGAACAACTTCGTTTTCCCTCAGCATGCAAAGCAGTTCAAGGTCAAGCTTCAGTCAAATGGCTGGGATATCCCTCTCTTCTCAGTTCACGAAACCGGTCAGTCAACACAAGCAAAGTCAGCAGGGCAGAGATACGCATCTACGTCATCGGCTATGACAACCGGGTTCAGTGGCACAAACGATAATCGTACAATGCTTCCGCTCACCATCACGCAAGACGATCTTCCCGGACTTTCACACACCAATGCAGAAGTTCTCACATACCTATTGCACGATCGGTCTCGAGAGTGCCACAGGGTTGTCGGACCCCGTGGGGCGCGTGCATCCGAGATCGATCTATTGAGAGAGCTTCATTGTCGTGGCATCAGAATTTTGATTGATGCTGGCGCCCAGATCCTGGAGATGGACAACGAGACCCTGGCAAAGCAGTGGTTGATGGTCGACGAGCAAGCTGCCGCGGCTCTGTTCTTTGACCAATGGAACAAGCCATGGATCATCCAGCGAAGTGGCAGAAAGACGCCGCTCCTCGCCTCTCCATACGCCGATGACCTCAGCAAATGTTTGGTATACCTGGATGAGGTAAATCAGAGGCTGCGCCTTCTAGGGAAGCTTTGCTGATCACGTTACAGGCTCATACGAGAGGTACAGACCTCAAATTCCCTCCATTGGCACGTGGTGCGTTGACTCTTGGACTGAATCAAAGCAAAGACCATACAGTTCAAGGTGAGTAGCAACGGGACTACTTCAACGCAATGCCTCCCCTGAGCATAGAACTTACATGGCCATCCACAGCTGCTATGCGTCTGAGGCAACTGGGTACGACTCAATCTGTGACCTTTTTCGCTCCCCCAGAAGTGTACCAAAGCATTGTTGATCTCCACCGCAAACCGCATGGGGCTACTGTGAGTTCCCGCGACGTGTAGGTCATGACTGGCTTAGTCCAATGACGTGGCTAACCCTTTTGTAGGATTTCCTGGCTCTTAGACAACACCTGCGATGGTATTGAGCAGTTACAGCCACTTTACTATTCCCAGGGCATTGACTTCTGTCGCCGAATGCAGGCTGCTATTGACAATCCGGACTTCGTCAAAGATAAGTATCAGCGGGAGGCCTATCTCGGGACGATCAAGCAAGACGAGCAACATAGCCTACAGAAGCTGTACGAGCCGAAACGAAAGATCAAGGGAGCTGGAGAATTTCAGGCGGGTTCAGACACGAAGATCAAGGCCTTTGTTAAGGAATTAAACCAGAGACGCAAGGCATTCCAAGACACAGGTCGAGCTGTGCATGCATCCGCTCTCCAAGAAGTTGAACAAGAACGAGAGGTGGCCTTCGAGTTTGAGACAGTTCGCCAAGTCAAGAAGCCGCATCATTACCCAGCCTTGACTTTCCCTGGGCTGCACCCAGAAGTCGAGTCCTTCGCCAAGACAGGAAGAATACCCGCTGGCGCCCATACCTTCATCCCTGCCTTCAAGTCTTTGTCCAAGACTGCGATAGGCAAGAAGTTCAAGGTCTCGGATTCCTCGCGTTCCAATCTCTACGTTACGACGGAATTTGAGCGAACGGTCAAACTGAGCTTCGACCTCACAAGCGACAATTTCCTAGTAAGTCACCCCCTACTCGCAAACGGATTTCCGTCCTATCACAGACCGCTGCTAACATATCGGCAGCGAAATGTGAACTGGGTTCTATGGAGTCGCAAGACCGAAGTGGCCTTGATCGTTATACCGGAGGAGGCGGAGATGCTCTTGTCTATTCTCAAGGAATCAGCCCTTCACTGCGCGACAAACTTGATTACCTACGCGGCTCCAGTCACACGGAAGATGCTCCATTTCAGCAATCTCAACTTCTTCAGTATCCCTTCCCTCCCTCATGACTGGAAGGCTCCGGATTGGCTGAAGACCGAGCTGGGAATCTACGGAGGCCAGCTGTATTTTGAATGGGCCGAGTATGACCAGCTCTGCGAGTTCCTTGGCATCGACCAGTCATTGCCATTGTTAGAGTATCTCGATCAGGAGGGGTCAGACAGCGACTCTGCCGATACGCAGAGCGGCGAGAAGCACAAGGTGTATATGGCGCCCAAAGGTCTTACTGCGCGGCCCCTGTCTTTCGTGCAGGAGTGGCTCGCCGCTCGCCGTCGCGGCCAAGACTTCATGTCGACCCCAATGGGTTTCATTGCGCAAGGCAAGACTCTCCAGGAGGATCACCCGTTCTTCCGCCAAGTCGTCATCGAGAATCAAGAAAAGCTGTTTGCTCCTATCCAAAGCAAAGGGGATGACGAAGAGGACAACGGCGATCATCACCTTGACGTGTTTGCTGTGGATGGCATGGGTGCCAATGAAGAGGATGATAGCGATGCACACGAAGATGAGATTGAGTACACTGATTCGGAGATTGGAAGTGAAGGGGAGAAGGATTGATTCGCTTTATTGACCACATCTCGGCCGATCCGTCGTTGGGTTTCGAGAAGTTTATGGGGCGGGCCATGTTTTGTGTGAGAATAGCTCGTTTACGGCCTGGAGTGCCTCAATTGCTCAAATAGCTAGGCATGCCATGGTCCCTTGAGTGAATGTGCCGCTCGTGATCTCCATGTGCTATGAATTTGAAGAACTTCTCTTGAGAACAATCATTAGCCTACACTACCTTACCTTAGGTACCTGAGGTAGGTTGACATGGCCTCCCTTTCTACTACGTAGACCAAAAACGCCTTATCGCTCGACCTGATTATCGATAAGCTCGAACCGAAATGACGTTGTCGATAACACTCCGAGCCTATCCCGAATAGGCAAAGCCGTCAAGATTGACTGGGTCACGTTGATCACATGATGGACAGGATTATTACCTAAGCCCAAATTTTTAAGATTTGGCCCCTTTTTACCCCTGTCACGTCAAACGACCGCCGCCACGGCTACCCGAACGAACCGTTTAGTTTTGCAGCTGCTTTTGCTGCTTTGCATAAGCCTGCCGCACTCTGCGCTGCGACCCTTCCTCGCGTCCCGCGTCCGTCTCGTGGAGTCCTGGCCAAAGGGTTCATCCATTCGTTCTCTCATCTCATAGAGAGAACAAAAAGAAAAGGGATAAATTACGGGACACATCCTGAACGCGTATCCGTACCTGACCTTGCTTATCTGAAATTGCCCATTTCTCTTTCTGCAGTTCACAACTTGTTTCATCCATCTTCCTGTCTCTCTCGATTGCCGTTTTGTCTGCTTTTGTTGCCCATCCTTTTACGGAGAAATTACGTTCGTAATCAATTCTTCCCCATCCATTCACCTTCGAACCTGAGGATGCAGCTGGTCTGATCCTCGCTCCATTCATCCATCCATCCATCCCTCCCTCCCTCCCTTCCGAAGTCCCGTCCCGTGTTCGCGCGTTGGTGTGCGTGGCCCGCAGGCTGCAGCAAGTTCATGCAACTCAACCCACACTCACTCACCCTTCGGGTCGTGTTTCACTGAAGCAGCAATGAGACTCGCTGTCTCAGAGTGTCATTCCACCCAGCGTGCCTGATTCTGATACGCACCAGTCACTTACCTACCGTCCACCACATTCACCAGTACACGCCCCTTCCGTACACATCTTGTGTACCATGACGGAATCTCACGATACTCGGACTGCCAGCGGCAACAACAATCACGGAGTCGCCGCAATGGACGCCGTCGCGAAACCCTCTCACAACGCCAGGCGGCACAAGCCCTCCGCCTCCCTGGGCTCCTTATACGAAGTCCTCGCCGACCTCGACGACAACCAGCTCCAGTACCTCATCCAGGAGATGAACCACACTGGTCACCAAAACGTTCCCGTGTCCCAGGCCGTCTCGACGTTCGAGGCCCTGAAATCATCCTCTTCCCCTCTTGACCCCTTTGCCGTCTCCGAGACGGGCACCCACGCGCCCGCTCCCGACTCACCGGCTCGGGAACCTCTGCGTAATCTATCAAAGTCGCGTCGGGGTCGGCTCTCTCTGCAGACGGCCTTTCAGAGGGCCCCGTCTTTGAAGCATAGGCAGCGCCAGCAGCAACAGCAGCAGCAGTCAAATTCAGACAGCCCTAGAGATGACTACCTCTTCCGCAGCAGCACTTTCTCCCAAGGCCCCGAACCAGTTCAGAGTCACCGGCCCGCCAAAGGGTACGGTGAACTGCTCTCAAGTCCCGTCAGCAGTTGCTCCTCACCAGCCGGCGGCCCCGTTGTCATGAGCGGGCTGCCCGAACCGGCAACGGTTACGCGGCCCACGCGGTATGAAGAGATCGAAGTACCTCAACCCGCCAGCCAACCACTTCCATCACCGCCACCATCAGCATCATCATATCTTGAACATCAACCAACACCGCCACCGCCACCGCAGCCTCAAGTTCAACAGCGTCGGCCGTCTACCAACGGAGCCCGAATGGGACCACCCGCTTACCACCGAATACCTCGGCCAGATTTCAACCTTCCTGAAGGTGTCACGGTTACTGACCTTCTCCACCTACTCGAAATTGAGTACATGTCCTCGAATCGGCAGGCGTCCTCTTCCTCGCGCAGGTCTTCCTCCTCCTCCACTTCATCGTCCATTTCCCGGCCTTCCCTTTCTTCGCCCTCGCCGTCGTCGCCGGCATTGGCCACCCGCCTCTTCCCCCCACCATCGAGATCATTCTCACAGACGCCAAATCTGCATGGTCGCTCCCCTCTGCGGAGGTCCTCTTCAAGGCTAGACCTTGCCCTCGGTGCAGAGCGGTCGGCTTCTGGTGCCGCTGAGATCGGCATGGGTATGCTCGAACCCAGACAGCTGAGATCAGTCTCGCTCGGTTTCCCGGGCGGTGGTATGGCCACCACCATGTCCATGGACTCATTGAGCCGGAGTCTGAAGGGCGAGACACGGCCTCCCGCGCCAGCGCCAGTCTTCGAAGGAATCTTTGACGTTTTGGAGAACCAGTAGTCTGCATCTCGGCTACAAATGAAGACAACAAGGCAACTCAGGTGGCCGTTCGTTTCTTGCCGCGCCCGAATAGCCCGGCTTCAGCAGGTGTCGGCAGCAATGCTATATGTAGGCAGAATGAGGAACGACCGGCTTCAGCAGGTGTCGGCAGCAATGCTATATGTAGGCAGAATGAGGAACGATGCAACAAGGCCAACGTCAAGTATAACAGAGGCAGCACAATGAAAGATGAGTCATGGTCCGCATGGCACGAGGTGGCTAGTCCGAGTTGGTTGGTCAACCCATAGCCCGCAAACCGCTGCTCTCTCCCGGGGCCATTACTATGAGCCACCAGTATTGGTCCGTTTGATTTTATCTGCACGATACCAGCTGATCACGGCCAATGCTTTTAGGAGCACTGCCGAGTGAAGAATTTGAGAACAATGTAATAAGCAAGCGCTACGATACCCAGAATGTACTGAAAGAATAATACAACGGTCGCTAATGCGGACTTTCAAACGAGCCATGTCGAAACCAACTTAACTGTGACACAACACCCATCGTGATCGTTGTGAGGATAGTGGAATTCTTCCTCTCCACCCCGACGACTCAGTCGCTGGCACATCGAGTCCAGACACGCTTACACGCAGCATAAGCATGGAGCCATATGTAGCTCACAGAAGTATCAGGCTGGTGTTGCAGGTGGCTAACGAGGAGGGATCGCTGATCAGGATCCATTAGCAGTCAGCCAGCAGACAAGTACAATGCGACATCAGAAGGCTGTGTGTGATCAACTTACTGTCTGCATCATCCCACCGGCGGAATAGTCCAGCGATTTGGTCTCGAAACCGGATTCTGGGGAGCCTTCTTGGTCGGACTGTCAAGACATTGAGCCGGTTACTGTATTGGAGATTGCCGTGTTTGACCCTCGACGGAGCCCGCTTCCACCATTCATCGGTAGCGGGTCGCGGGACATGTTTCCCAGCCCGACGAGCAGCCCAGCGGGCTTTGAAGGATGCCCATCGGTACCGAAGCCAGTATTCACGGAGGAGTTGAGGATAATAGGTTCTCATCCACACCTCGTCCACATTTCCAGCATTCCGGTCGTTCTCGCCTTCGTATTGAATACGTAAGACGACTCGGTTATGCTCGCCAATATGGTGCCCCAGGACATTGATGACCTTCGCTGTTGATTTGTTCCAGGGAAGGATCTCTTGGCGATCAAAGAGATCAAAGTAACTGGTCCAGGCGTCGATATCACCAAGCTGAACCATGTATTCGGGTGCCCAAATGTCTCGCAATTCGCCATCTGAACTCTCGGGTTTCTCCTAAAGTGTTCGAAGCTGAAGTCTGGTTGCATCTTCGGGATCGAGTCTGTGGGCATTGACTCCAAGATGTTGCCACTTCCGTTGAGTTCCGTGAGGCACAAGCTTTACTTCTCCTCCACTGTCGAAGAGTGACGGCTTGAAGGCAAGTACCTGTTCGGGGATGTGATTAATCGGCGGTTGCGTGTAAGTCGGTGGGTCTAGATGATGCATCGCCTCAGCACAACTTGACCGTAATAAGAAAGGAGAGCAAGAGCGAATGATGGCATACATGTGAGAATCATTCCGATATCCGGGTTTTCGAGGTTCATGTGCCACCCGTCCAGCGGTCTGTCACTAGAGTGCGCAAGACGTGTGAGCGAGAGGGGTAACGTGCGGAAAGCCGGCAAGACAGAAGGCAATGAACTCACACAATGCGGGGCACTCCAACAGCAGTGAGCAGACGATCGGTCATGGTGGTGATGAAGTCCATGGTCAATGTTGTAGTCGCCCGAAGACTCAGTTGGCTCGTGGACAAGGTCGGTCGCCGGTGTAAGTAATCGTGACGGGAGCCGTGGCTGTCTAGCCTGCAGTGCTCGGAACGCCAACCGAAAATTGAGGAATTGGGCGACTGGAAGTAATGCCTGAAACGCGTTGCTTCTTATCCGGGTTAATCAATTGCTGAAGTGCCTAAAGGAATGCGTGTATTGAAGACATGTAGCTGCTGGTGAATGATGCCGAACTGTTCTGCCTTGATGACGGAGGTTGTGGAAGAAGCGCGAGGAAGCGCGTGGAGAGGAGAAAAGAGGAACAGCCAGAGAAGCGCACAGAAGAGAAGCTCCAATCACTGATACGTCAATCCACCGCACCTTCCCTTGTCCACTGAAGAGTGGCCACGAGGTGGTTGCCCCAAAACACATGAGAGAAATGTGGTAAGAGCAACACAGCACCTGCAGGCACGTGTATTTACAAAAGGCAAGTCCAACCTGGGGTGGCTACCAAAGTTCATTTCCACCACTCACCATCTCTTGATTCCAATTGCGTTGCCTGGCTGAGATAGGTACCTTACGCCTGAACCTTGTCTTTGTCACGATGGTTGTTCTCCTTCTGCTACCTACCTACACTGTGAGGCGATGAAGCGTAAATGTAGCCGCCATTAAATGAGGCTTCTAGCTTTTGTGTCACGTATTGACTTCCCATTGCGGGAAAATGAATATCAGATGTA